GATCAAATGAAAGAACACATTGGCTGACAGTGAAAGATTGTGTATAATTAATTGGTTTAGTAGCATGGATGAAAATCACATAATTCAGGTTTGTATACCATCGATGAATGTGTCATGGAAGCATTTTGATGAAGTAGAAGGAATAAAGAAACCCTATCATAACAAATGCCATATGATGACATTGCCAGAGATACCATTCACTTGGAATTTAATTGACAAAAATCGTGAAGCTAACCGCTTTCAATTTCCTTTATAACAATGTCCAACCTCAACAGAGATGCAGTTGGAAGTGGAAATTCAGCAGTTAGTACTAAAGATACTCCACTTTTCCATATGGTGTACTGTAACAGTTCTCACTGAAAGACTGAATCAATGTAATAGTCAGAAATTGTGCTCCTTCGTCACTAGCTCCTAATAAAGACATGAGCAAAGTTAGGCCTAGTTATTCAGGCACAAAATATCATTTCTGCTAAGGAATCAGTTCAGCCATGATTTCATATGGGTGGAGTCTCACTCCACTGAAGTTAGTTGATAAAATAAAACAAACAGATGCTGGTAATCTGAAATAAAAACAGAAGTTGCTGGCGAAACTCAGTAGGTCTGGCGGCATCTGTGGAGATAAAGAGTTTCTGAGGAAGGGTCACTAGACTCAATGTTACCTCTATTTCTCTCTCCACAGATGCTGCCATTTGTTTGAAGTTAATTGGTTTCAGAGATATAAAAAGTTTAAAATTTTGTTTTGTATTTTCCATTTTTTATCTATCTTGCTCTCTTAATCCCATCTGCCTTTCCCAATTTTAGTTTTACCCAGTAGCTGATTGAATTTTACTTAATATTTTCACTTCATATACTCCCTGGTTTAGGTTTTGTATGGCTCACTGAATATTCTTCAATTTGATGGATTGAAGAGTTTCTCTGTTTCTTGGCCTGTTCGCAGATGCCAAAGATTCCCTAAAGAGAACACTGCTTTGGATCAGTTGAAAGCAGGTCTCCTTAAAAACCTGTAAAAACTGTGAGTGGATGTTCACATGGTGAATGGTGAGTGCAGTTCATCCCCAATGGACTGCAAAACATAGAGCAATATGGGTAATTTGGGCAGGAAACCAATAGAAAAATTATTGCTTTCAGTCACTAAAATAATAAGTGGATGTGAATAAATGAATGCTCAAAAGTATTGGACATTAATTAAATAGAGCAACTATGCAAGGCAGAAAGATTTAAATCTGAATGTAGGATGAGTTAGGAGAAAAATAATAAAGAACACATCCAACAAATACTTGTTCAGTTGTCAAATATAGATAAGCTGGGTTCAAGCATTATTCAATCAGACAGGAATTCCAGAGCATTTTTCTAGATTGAGATAGAAATTTCAACATTCGTTTAAAACAAGCAGAAATGTTTTTTTAAATTCACTCACGGGATGTTGCTGCTACTGATAGGGCCAGCATTTATTGCCATTCCTTAGTTGCCCTTGAGAAAGTGCTGGTGAGCTGCCCTCTTGAACCTTCTTGAATTTGGTATAGGAACAACAATGCTGTTAGGGAGAGAGTTTCAGGATTTTGATCCAGTGATATTAAAGGAATGGTGCTATTCTTCCAAGTCAGGATGATAAGTAGCTTGACAGGAAATTTGCAGGTGATGGTGTTCCCATGCATTTACTACCCTTGTCCTTCCATTTGGTAATAATCTTGGCTTTGGAAGGTATTGACTAAGTAGTCTTGGAGAATTTCTGCAGTGCACCTTGTGGCGGTGCACACTGCTGCACCTGTGCATCAGTGATGGAGGGATTGAACGCTTGTGAATTTTTTGCCAATGAAGTGGACTGCTTTGTCTTGGATCATATCAACTTCTTGAGCATTGTTGGAGCTGCATTCATTTAGGCAAGTAGGTGGATATCCACCATATTTCTGATTTGTTGTTTGTAGATAGTGAACAGGCTTTGGGGAGTCTGGAGATGAAGTACTTGCTCAGGATTCCAAGCCTCTGACCTGCTTTGTAACCACAGTGTTTATATGGTTAGTCCAGTCCATTTTGTCATGAATGGTATCATGATGTTGATAGTAGTCAATTAAGTGACGGTAGTGCCATTGAATATCCAGGAGTAATGGTTAGAATCTTACCTTTTGGAGATGTTCATTGTCAAACAAGTGGCAAGTAACATTTGTACCACACAAATGCCAGGTAAAGTCCTTACACTAAATTGAGTTAGAAATTACAATATTACTTTAAAACCAGCAGGGTTTGACAAACCAGTCAGCAGTGAGGCAAAACAGCTTCTGTTTGATGACATCTTTAAATTCCGTTTTAATGATGTAACAGATTTCAGATTGTTCCTGGACATTAAAGATGCTTCAGTGCTACTGGGATTCTTCTTTTGATCAACCAGCAACTTTTAAAATATATGCTGCTTAAATTCTGCTTTTAACTATCAGCAATGAAGTGCAATAGGCAATACTTAGTTGGAGAGGTTCTTAGGCAAATTCAACAATATATTTAACTCAAAATCTAATTAGCAACAAAAAGTGGATTTTCATGGATTTAACCTTCTCCCTAAATATCTGTCTTGGGCTGACAGCAATTGACGGTTTCAATTGACAGAACACTTCTCCAATGAAAAGAAATTCACAACTATTTGCATGAATAAGTGACATAATAAACAGGAATTATATTTGCCCTCACAACTGGAATGTTGACTACCCTAAGATCACACTTTCAGCAGGTTTAAATTAACCATGGAAATTAATACACAATGGTATAACTCAATATAACTCTATCTTGTCACTTATATGAATAGGAAATATTTCAGAAAATACAAATACTTAGCACAATTTTGTTAAATGTACAATACCCCACACATTTAGTCATGATCAAAGTAATAACGCAATAAATTAAAAATGAACACTCTCAGTATTTTGATCTAAAAGACAATATGATCTTTGTGTAAATTACTTAAGTAGTTCAAACTATATTAGCGTGTGCTAGCACATTGTGCTGCACTGTGCTGTGTTCAAGAGTAACCACGGCCTGCTTCTAGATCAGATGATGCAGTTCATTGTTCCTTTCCTCACTAATACAGTTAATAGATTAATGTGAACCTGTAAAGAACAGCTCCATATCATTCTTGTCATTTGTTCAGGGAAAAATCATGGCTTCAGGTTGGATAAGTAACCGCCAACTTAATGCCATTCAATTCTGTGGCTGACTCCTTGAGCAAAACCTGAAAGACACAGTTTGGTAACAAAAATTGGTGTGATACAGCAGTTAATTATGCATGGCTGGAGTCCAGAATCTCCAGTCACTCGAGCAAAACTGGACAAGTTAATCGTCAAGAATATTAGTTACACCATTGTGTAAGTAAACATCAATGCACTTCCTTCCTGATTAAATCGCCCCGTTTGTACATCAGAAAATCTCCACTTTTAGGCATGGGTTCCTACTCCAGCAGTACTGTATAGTATTATGGCTGGACCTTTTATCGTATTTTTTGTTTTTTCTATGGAATGTAAGCATCACTGGTTAGGCCAGCATTTGATACCTACCATTAGTTGTCCTTGAGAGGTGGTGGTCAACCATTTTATTGATCTCCTACAGTCCAGCTGCAGTACAACTTCAGTTCTTCACAAAAATTTAAATATGCATTTTTGTTGTGTTGCATTATGAAAATAAACTTGTGCAGTATTGTCCAATCCGATTTGCTCTTCTTTGCCTTCAGTCAATTAATTTGTTTTATCAGTTCTGTCACCTTTCTTCCTTTAATAATTTAGTCCTGAAGAAGCATGTATCCAGAAAAAAGGGGAGGAGGTTGGTTGCATTGACTAATAATTCAATAGTTAACCTTTATAATCATCAGAGAGACAGATACTTTGACCGAGTTTAAATTCCTAAATTTGTAGAAGATCTGAAACAATGGTCTCAAGAGATGACCCTGTCAATATGACAGAAAAGAAATATCAGAAGCGGACTGAGGTTAGGAGATGTGTAATAAAAAAATATGATTGTTAATTGAACCTTGAACAAAGAATGAGTTCTAGTAACATCATGTTTTGATATTAGATGGGTAATATTGGTAATAAAGAATACTGAATAAATTTTGTGTGATGAATTGGTAATGTATGTTATGAATCAATTTAGATTGTTGTGTTGTCAACATTTTAAATCCTGGTACTGAAACTGGTACTAATTTAGAAGACTACTATTTTTAAAATTATAAATCATCTTAACTGTTTGCTAACTCTGACATAATGTTTTACACAAGCACAATAGTGTGTTACAAGGGCTTTTAATGGAGAAGCATGAGTCATTATGTTCTGGGATAAGGCTTTGCGAACCAAACTTAATTTTTGTAATCTGCCCAAAAAATGGATGGTGAAGGAATGTTCTTCCATTTGGGGTCACTTTTTAATCTTGATTGTTGCGGATTAATGACAAGACAAATTTAAAGATTTCATGGACTGTGGGTGAGATTGAAACTGTCATTTTCTAGTAAAATTCTTATTCTCTTCAGGCCTTCAGTTTTGAGTATATGCAAGGTTTAAAAAAAAGAAGTTTGGAGAATATTCACATTGGAATGTTACAACATTATCCAGCAATTTAGTCAATAATTTTAGCAGAAATAGAGTGCTCTCCAAATTTTAAACCCCAGCTAGATTATTTCGGGATACTTGACCATATGCAAATTTACATGTGAATGTTTTTTTGACTTGCATTGAATTAACTTTGCATTGTGACACCTGTGTATACAGTAGTTTTAACTGATAACTTTGCAACACTAAATAAAAACTGAAAGAACTGTGGATGCTGTAATTCAGGAACAAAAACAAAGTTGCTGGAAATGCTCAGCAGGTCTGGCAGCATCTGTGAAGGAAAAAACATTAACTCTCTTTTTTTCCTTCACAGATGCTGCCAGACCTGCTGATATTTTTTTCAAGCAACTTTGTTTTTGAACTTTGCAACACTACTTGGTCTGTTTTGGATAAAATATGGCATTTATCTTTCCTTAGGCTCAGTCTACGAACCTGCCAAAACTACATCACTAGTTTTTTCAGATGATAATCGATTGGACAAACTTGACAAATATTACAGAAATGGTAAGTTGATTTTGAGCACAGAATTTATATTTGTAACATTTTACCTATAGAGTGCCAAGCTTTTCTGCCTAGTTGTCATGCAATCTGTTCTAATTTTTAGTTAATGTATTAGAAAATTGCCTGCTGCACAGGGAGCAGGATGAAATCCTCTAATATATTGCTAATAGGCTATCATATTATGATCCCTTACATTGAGATTGCAGATATTGTCTGTTCCATACATGTTTGCATTACTAGCTCACCAATTACCAGAAACTACTGGCAGTTCAGTGGAAAGTGTTTGCATTTGTGTATTACCTTACGGCAGCTTCAGAACTTCACATCCAGCTCTATAATTAACAGATTTCATTTATAGTCACTGTTCCTTTTGTGGAATGCAAATTGGCTGTTGTTTGCCAAAGAGAACATAAAACAAATGGTCATTATTCTGCCTTTGAAGCTGATTATGGAAGAAATCTTGACCAAGACAATGAATAGTTTCAGCCCTGCCTTACCCTGAATATTCACGTGGGAGCTTTTAGCTCCAGTGGGATAGTTAACTGGGCCTCCATTTTATAGCTAAGGAAATGTAACACTTCTTTGGCACTATATTGAATTATGTGATTAATAAAAACTTACATAATATTTTACCCTACTGTGTAAAATCCACCTTTGTGTATATTGACTATAATAACTCAGGACACTTGACTTGAAAGGAACGTCCTTTACTGACGAATACCCAAGTAGAGCCACTACTGATGGCATACATCGGCTAGTCTAAGCCTGGGACAGAAAGTTTGTAGATCCACCCTAGGTCTGCTTTTTTTAATATCCAGAAGTGTTATCATACATGAAAGTTTCTTTTCATGGCGAAATTACCATGGCATTTTTTTCTTCATCTATTACCATAGACTGTAAGGTATATGAGCAGAATTAAGCCATTCAGCCCATTGCCCACCACCAATAAATCACCTGTGCTTCCAATTGAATAATTGAATACGGGCAGGTCTTACAAGGAAAGGTTGAGAAAGCTAGGGCTTTTCTCATTGGAGCGAATAAGGATGAGATGTTACTTGATAGAGGTGTTTTTTTTTCTATTCATTTCTGGGATGTGGGCATCACTGCCTGGCCAGCATTTCTTGCCCATCCCTAGTTGCTCTTGAGAAGGTGGTGGTGAGCTGCCTTCTTGAACTGCTGCAGTCCACCTGGCTGTGGATTGACCCACAATGCTATTAGGGAGGGAATTCCAGGATTTTGACCCAGCGACAGTGAAGGAATTGCGATATATTTCCACGTCAGGATGGTGAGTGACTTGGAGGGGATCTTGGAGGTGTTGGTGTTCCCATATGTCTGATGCACTTGTTCTTCTAGATGGAAGTGGTCGTGGGTTTGGAAGGTGCTGTCTGAGGATCTTTGGTGAATTTCTGCAGTGCATCTTGTAGATGGTACACACTGCTGCTACTGAGCGTCGGTGATGGAGGGAGCGAATGCATGTGGATGTAGTGCCAATCAAGCGGGCTGCTTTGTCCTGGGTGGTGTCAAGCTTCTTGAGTGTTGTTGGGGCTGCATTCATCCAGGCAAGTGGGGAGTATTCCATCACACTCCTGACTTGTGCCTTATAGATGGCAGACAGGCTTTGAGGAGTCAGGAGGTGAGTTACTTGCTGCAGTATTCCTAGCTTCTGGCCTGCTGTTGTAGCCACTCTGTTAATGTGGTGAGTCCTGTTGAGTTTCTTGTCAATGGTAACCCCCAAGATGATGAGAGGCATAGACTGAATAGATAGTCAGAGACTTTTTCCCAGAGCGGAAATGGCTATCACAAGGGGGCATAATTTTAAGGTGATTGGAGGAAGGTATGGGGAGATGTCAGAGGTAGGTTCTTTACACAGAGAGTGGTGGCTGTGTGGAATGCTCTGCCAGCGGGGGTAGTAGAGTCAGATACATTAGGGACATTTAAACAACTCTTGGATAGGCACATGGAGGATAGTAGAATGAAAGGTATGCAGGGTAGTTTGATCTTAGAGTAGGATAAAAGGTCTGCAAAACATTGTGGGCCGAAGGGCCTGTACTGTGCTATGCTGTACTGTTCTACATTCTATCTTCTAAAGCCTGTTAAGGGTATTACAAACCATCAAAGGTGAGGAAGAGGTAGGGAGAGGGAACTAAATCAATATGAAAGGGGTGGGTAGGCTTTATGAAGGGCTCAGGTGATTGAGTTCCGGTTGGGTAGGCCATTGCCTGTTACCAAGGGAACTTGTACTGAACAAGCTCCCGAGAGAGATTAATTAGTGATTTCGCATGGGACTTAAAGGGGTTATCACATCCCTGTCCTTCTGAGTCAGAGGGTTCCACTTGATCCTGTGATGATGGGGCCTCCTGTGCCATTTTGACCAGGGTCCTGTTCCTTTTTGCTTTCCACGTCTGGTCAAGGGGCTTATTATAAGTTGGCGAATGCCTCTTCTGTGACCATTGCAGGCCTTTGAAGAGTCACTACAAGGGGCTCGTGCTTAGTGGTGTGTCTGTTGAAACAATTGCCTCTATAGAGGGTGCCCGCTGGTTGACATTTTTTTTTGCTATCTTCTCCCCAGTTTTGACTATGTATGATACCGGTCCTTTTTTTTTAAACAATAACTCCTGGAATACCTGGAGCGATGTCACCAAAGTTCCCTATGTTGACCATATCTCCACCTAGTAATTTTTGAGATGTAGGAAAAGGTTTGACTCCATTGTGCTCCTACAAGTAAGAGCCCTTTTTATGGCTTTCACTTTCTCCTCGACAGGATATAATCCACCCTTGTTGATTCTGTACCTGCGGTACATTACCTCGTTTACCTGGAACACACATTTTCCCTTCTTAGCTGATGCCGGCCTCGGAGAAACACCATAAGACTTCATCCAAACACTCCATGTGCTCATTTGAAGTAGCTTCTGACATTAAAATGTCATACAGATAGACTGCCACTATAGGCATCACTTAGAGGATGTCCTCCATTGCCCTTTGAAAGATGGCACCAGCCAAAGGTGTCCCAATTGGCAAGCAAGTGTACTCATACAGTCCTTTGTGACTACTTATAGTAACACATTTTCTAGATGATCCCCCAAGCTCCAATTGGAGGTGGATGTGGCTTATATTCAGTTTAGAAAATGTG